GTTAATTTTCTTCCTAGTAGCTGGTGCAGTGATATGTTTTGGATTTAGTGTGAGAATAATGCTGATAGCATGCTGATGTTTCGTTGTTGCTAAGAAGTGCTTATCCTAAGGTAAGGATTTTTCCGTTTCCTGTGCCCTGACAGCAAGCAGGTGCACAAGAAGCTGGGAGGGAGCATGGCCAGGACAGCTGATGAACTAGCCAAAGGGACATTCTGTACCATGGAATGTCATGTTCAGTAAAGAAACTGGGGAGAGCTGTCTGGGGGGCAGATGACTGCTCAGGTTTCTGTCAGTGGGTGGTGAGCAATTGCATTGTGCATCACTTGTCTTTTCTTGGGTTTTATTTCTCTCTATTATTATATTCCTTTTTGTTACAATTATTGTTATATTTTTCATTATTATATTTTATTATTATTATTATTGATTTGATTTGATTTTAGTTATTAAACTATTCTTATCTCAGCCCAGGACTTTTTCTTTTTTTCCTGATTCTTCTCCCGCTCTCACTGGGAGTGGGAAAAGAGTGCTTAGTTGCTTGCTGGGGTTAAACCATGACAGGGCACAATCCCCTTGCTATCAGCACCATCAGACAGAATGCAGCTCTTGATGGTCCTCTGGTCAGCCTTTCCCTGTTGGGGTTTTTAACATGTAAATCCTTCATTGGTGCTAGATCTGTATGGCCTTGAGTAGCTGGAAGGAAACCTAAAGAGGAGGCCGAGTAGGGAGAAGAAAACAGAGAGGAGAGAAAATATTCACAGTCTCTGAAAGAGCCAGTCAACACAGCTGGAAAAAAAGTTCTGGATAAAAACTTGCAGCCAGTAGAAGTGATGAGGTGCAGTTCGATTGAACTACAGCTGTTCTGAGTGAGCTTCATCAAAAATATGCTTGCACAAGCAGTATCTCCAGTACCATTCACAAAACTGTTAGTATCAGTGAAGCTGACTTTACCCAAAATAATTAGGCATTTTTCTACTTTTAAGTATTCTCTAGATTTGCAAAAACACCAGCAGCAGCTCCAGTCTTCTACAGCAGCTATCTGGAAGTCAGATGGACAAACAGACAGGGATGCACACACGCAGCCACTCGAGCTGCATCTGAAGTCTGGTGAGCTACAGCGAACACAGCAGCTGCAGAGCCTACAGTGACCTAGGGGCTGCCTCAGCCGTCAGATGACAAAAGTACTAATACACCAAATTGCTGGAAAAATGCATCAGTAATTCTGTAATATTTGTGCTACATTTCTCATTTATGGTGTCATGTCTGACTATCTCCATAGCTTTGATCATAGAGGGACCTGGCAAAGGACTGCTCTAACTACGCTTTGCGTCGTTCTTTCCGTGAGCAGCCTTGGCATGGTCAGTATCTCCCTGTGCAGGTTGCCTGTTTGCCACATGTTATCCTTGTATATACAGACATATGTACACGCTGATTAATAAGTTAATTTAGCACAAGAATTCGATGGTGAGACAGAAGACCCCAAGAGAAAAGTTCTTTCCTGTTGAGATAAAGCAGCAACTCTGTTAGCTTAAGCCAGCAGAGACTTTTTTTATGTTACCCAGAATTGCTTAGACTGAGGTTTTCTGAACATCTATGCATTTGAAAAAGACTAAACTATTTGAAAGGATCTATTAGCATGCATGCTTTAACTTCACTTCTTTTTCATGTTTGGCTCTTACGGAAAAATACCAGATTTTGATATGAACATCTGTTTCATGTTTTTCTAAATGTGAGCTTAGTATGAAAATTAACCCCTGAATTTTTGGTTTCAGCAGCCTTCTAGCTCTTCAGCATACATTCAGGAGCCTTCTCTTCCTAGTATTGCTAGGATCTCAGCCCAGCCTTATGGCTGCGTGGTCTTCTGGACATAACTTGGCCAACGCTGGATGTGTTCAAATATATCATGAAGATGTTTTTCACATAGTCAGCATTAGCGGTTGTCACTTCTTTTTGCTGAGACACTCCAACAGAAGTAACTAACTCGGCTCTCAGTTTCATCCAACCTCATTCAACTTTTATCCCAAGAAAATGTAAGAAAATCACAATCATAATTGGTCTTTCCAGAAATGTGTTTTAGTTACTAACGGGCCCAGAAGTTGTTTAGCAATGGTGAAACTACTCTACAGAGCACAAGTCTGAGCTTGATTCAGTAGGGAGCTTCTTCTCGCTCACCAGAGGAGTAAGGCATCGGACACTAACATATTTTCATCTACCAAAACAAAGGTAATTTTCTTTCCTGTCAGTTTAGGGTACATTAGCTAAAGGTAGTGACAGGTAGCAAATATCCCCAAATGCAGGATTTCCCTTCACCATGGGTGAGCACCCAAAATGCCAGAGGATTTTCTGAGTTACTCAAACTCCCAGGTCACCAAAACCAGCCTTTTGGTACCTCCTGCTTTAAGCTGGCTCCAGAATTGCTCAAATGTGATCTTTCTTTCTGACAGATTGGCAGTTCCCATCCAGAATTAAAGGGGGAAGAAAATAACTACATTAAAAAAAAAAAAAAAAAAAAAAAAAAAAAAAAAAAAAAAAAAAATGTATTCTTAACTTTTCAGACTGTTTGACCTGGGTGAGTTTCAGACACAATTCATCTCTCACCAGTTTGGCTATCTGTGGTCATAACAAGGTTCTTCATCAGTTTATGGAAAAGGTAGGTATTTGATTCTGTTACTATCTGAAGAAACCATTTTTCTTTTACCACAGTGAGAAAGTTTTGCACGCGTTTCCACCGAGGACATAAAAACTCCAGTAGTAACATCTTTCAAAACTAATGAGCTGCTGTTAATCTCCCCTTCAAATGTATAGGTGATGTACAGGGTTTTCTTTTAATACCTGTTCATGGGTTTGGTTTTTTTTTTTTACATACTACCATTGTATTTCTGAGGCCATCAGTGACATCCAGTGGCCAACTAGATTAAGTCTAGACATGTTTTATAGACATCTGCTTACTGTTTTCCTTAGTAAAAAAAATCAATTAAAATGTTAACCATGCAGTTGACCTGTTTAGCTTAATTCTCTCACAGGTGTGATGAGAATCTCCCTGGAAGAAAACTCACAGGATTGGACCCTCACTCTATTCCCTCCCTTTGAACTGGTGAGACCCAGATTTTTCACAGGAGGCACAAGGATGTGATTTGGACTCTGCTGTCTGTGTATCACTGAGGTGAATCGAAACTGAAGTTGCAACCTCTCAGAATTTGAGATGTGCAAAACTATAACTCGATTTTTTTCTTCTTGATGCAAGCAGACATGAATCTCAGTATAAGCGTGTCCTGTCCTCTCTGTTTCATTAATGGGATTCCATTTTTACTAATTTATTTTAAATAAGCTACTCTAAAAGTAGTTAATAGGAAAAGTAAGGGAAGCACAAATATTTATTCAGCCCAAATCATACATCTGGATAAAAAACAAGTGTGAAGCACTACAAAAATGTTAGTCATATTGTACCTTACAGAGATGTGGATACAAAGTTAGGCGCAGTAACAGATTTCCAACACTGAATTTTAAGCTTGCTTGCAGTGTATTAACTCTGTTAATAGCCTTCATTGGGTAAAAAAGAGGTGCTCTGAAGAAGGTGGTTGATGATGTTCAACCCCTTCAGTGGTGACAGCAGGGCAGCACAGGGGAGCCGTACCTGGCCCTCACAGTTCAGCCCTTGCTGCGGGTGGTGAAATTGGGTGTCCACCCCCCTGCATGCCCTTCTTCTGTCCGTCCCTGGGGGCACTCGAGGTGCTGAGTTCAGCTCAGTCTTGTCCACAGGTCGTGAAAGTGAATGGGGGTGACGTTTGCCCTCACGTGGTTAACCTATGCAGAGTGTAAAATGATTATATTTTTGTTTGTAAAAGATCTTTTTAAATAGAAAAGATATGAAAGGAATAGGAGTTAGGGACCACAACTTCTGGTGTGCGGTTCCCAGGGCGTAGGGACTTCAATTGCGGATTTAGCACTACAGAGCGTGGACAGTAGTACCAATGGTCACTGCCATTGTATTCGAACAGCAGTAGTAGTCATTGTGCTACTAACATGTCTGATTTGTGGCACCTCTCATCTTTTGCTAAATAGTCAATTTTCTTGTGACCTGTTCCAATGAAGTATTACATCTGCACATCGCAAAAGACTGAAGAGCTAAGTGCGATACATTTGGAAAGGACATTCATGACAATATCATTGTCATATTTGTGATTAATTTCCCCCATTATCCTTTCTCCATAGTTGGCACAAACTAAAGGATCAGGGCTGCTTATGAAAAATATTTGCGGTCATCAGAAACAAGAAGAAAAAATAATAAATTCCAGAACTCTAGTTTAGAATAAAGTGTTTTACTTCTGGGAAACATAGTGTGAGTATGAAGTAGCAGTGAACAAGAACTAAATGTCTATTGTTCATGAGTTCACCAGATAATGAATTAACAATACCTCATGGATTATAGCCTGTAAAGATGGAATCTGGGCTCATGTGCTCATGACAAGGGAGAAGAAAATCACTGAAACTTACTCCCCACTTATACTGTCAGAGAAGGAACTGCCCCTTGTTTACAGTGTTTTAAATTCCTCTAAATACATAAATAATATGCATTTAATTGGTCAAGAAAGGCCCAAAACAAACCCCTGGTTTCATAAGTCTACATCTTTGAAGTGCATTGAAGTGCACTAAACAGATATTAAATTAAAAGGTAATGGATGTTTCCTAAATTTTCTTGATTCTTGCCAAGGGCAGACTGACTTACAGAGCAGACAGTCATGGAAAACATGCTACCTTCTCATTGTAGGCAGAAATTTCTCACCATCTCTTCATACAATCACAGTTCCACTTCCACCTCTACCCTTTCTACAATAACCAGCAGCCACTTAATTGTCAGCCTTGTGCACCCAGATGCCAGTAAGCAATGGTGAGGGACTAGAAATATGTACATATAAATATTTGTAGATAATTATTATATATATATATTAAAATATATATATATATATATAAATATATATATTTGAGAGAGAGACAGAGAGACTATATTAGAGAATTTTTTTTTTCACACTAAGCACTTGTCCAGAAACAGCACATTAATGAGTCTGTTGAAGGTGTCATTACAAATACCAGCAGTCAGATTCAGAGTATGAGTGCCTTCATTTTTTTCAGTGGGAGACAAGCAGTTTCCTCCAATTTCACAGCAAAGAGAAAGAGCAAGACTTGCAGAACTTCTACAAATGAAATACAGAAAAATTGTTGTGAAACATTTCTGTAGTAATTCCCCCCTGAAAGCCAGTAATACATTTAGAAACTAGCAATTATACATGCAAGGAATCGTTACTGGCAAGTAGCACTGCAATGAAAGGCTGTATAGTTGGTATTGTGGTTACTGATGGTTTGCTCTGCTCTGCTATATGGTTTCCTTTTTATGTATCATGTAAAGATATTTTGATGATGTTTCACCACTGTAATATACAAACATCATTTTCTATGAGGCAGAAAATTAAAATCCAAGGTGGATACCCAAAGGCATTGAGAAAATTTTAGCTACTTTATTTATGCAGTTATTTAAAGAATCTCATAAGAAAACTGTCATAGCTAATCCACCAGTAATCATTTGGACAGGATAGTTGAGCTCAAGGTCTTCAGCTCACCATCAGCTGCATGGTCAGATCATTCCATGGAGCTTTTGCCATGTTTTCTTTGCACCGTGCTGATAACACAGTTTAAAAATCCCACTGAAAACTTTGAAGATATTCCACTGTGAGCAGGTGGTATGAGAGGATACTTGTGCCAGTTGTCTGTGCCTGAAGCCCCCCCTCTATTCCCAGAGCCAGTCCGCAAGAGCTTCCCCATGTGGGTGGTCTGCCAGCATCCCTGGGAAGCTGCAGCACAAGAGCATCCTGCAGGGCTGAAAGAGGGGAAGGTACAACCCCACTGATGCTGCTCATTTAAATGAGAGGCCTTGAGCGTCAGGCCAATGCAAGAGGCTATGGGTGTTATTGCTGGGATATGCTTTTTACAGCAATGAGAAGGACTTGCACAGCTGGATCAGAAACCATGCACAAACCACCTGCTGACGTCGGTCTGCTTGGAAGCAACTTTGGCAGAAATATCTACTAAAAGAAGAAATACTGAAAAAAGTACATCTGTTTCTTGGTGTGTCTCTGTCTAGAGGAAGTTCAAGCTCAGTTGAGGGTCTGGCAACACCCAACCAGTCTGCGTGAAGGGAGCATTTGGGCAGCAACTATGGAAAGATGTTTCTATTCTCCACTAGGCTTCCAGACGCAAAGGATGGGAAATAGCTTCTCCCAGGAGGGACACAGCAGTGAACGTGCATCTCTGCCTGTCATGGCTTCTTCAGTCAGTGTGAAGAATTTGCTAACTTTTTGCATGGAAACTAATCATACCTGCATTTTTGAAATCTTACTTTTAAAAGGCCCCGTGGTACTTGTATTGACAGGGTTCAGGTCTGCTGAGCTTTCTTGATGTTGCTGAACCTCTTTTGTTAGCATTTCCTGACTACACAGACAGCTGATCACAGCACTGGCCGCACTGTTTCCATCTAAGGTTTGTCTCAGTTTTGGTCTAGGTTAAAGCAATTATGGAATTAATTATTGGCTGTACAGCTGTTCTCCCCCTGCACCCTGCCAAAAGTCAGCTTAGCATACAGTCTTCCCTGCAGAAAATGCTGGTGACAAAGCAAATCTAGTGTATAGAAACAGCACCTACCATCATATAGCCAAACCAGAGGATTAAAAGCAAATACTTGCCAGGAAAGCTGCCATGCATCCGGCATGCCTGTCACTGCAGCCTTTAAGCAAGTATGAACACACCGCTGGGATCTGTAACATAATATATGAGAGTTAGCGATGCAAATTGGTTTATCTTTAAAATGCATTTGCCCCCTGTTTAGACCACCAAATCCTCTATCCAGTTATACTAATACTGAACCTGCTTCGTCAGGTGTAGTAGAATTCTTTTTCAAGCACATTCTTTGTACCGATTGTCCCTCGTGGTCTTGTGCATTTCAGTATGCTGGTATAGAGTTATGTTTGGTCCACTTCTTTTATTGACATGGACAACTTTTTTCTCTAAGAACTAAAGGTAAAATTACTGTTAATCCAGTCTAATTGGTGGCACTTTCCCTGCTCCACCTGCCTCCCTACATCCTGCCCAACCACTGTCCCACAAAAACGCCTCCCATATGCTTCAGAAGGTAGATTATTGTTATAAAATATCTTATTTAAAAGAGCCCATATAATCACATGTGTCTTTGAAAAGTATACCCCTTGCCACAGCATGACTTAATTTCACTTGCAAGGTCTGGTGTTGAGCAGCTGCCGCTCACAAAGCCACCTCTTGCCTGCTTCCCAGTTTGGCACAGGCACAGAGAACATGAACTACCCAAGTGAATTTAAATGCTGGTTTCGTCTTTGAGGACTTAGGTATACTGGGTATGTCATCTCTGCTGATGAACTGACGAGCCATAATATGCGTCATGTTATATGGAAACTGAAGTGAGGTGCCAGGAGGAGAAACGAGGGCAGTCTGGGACAAATGTAATCTGTCCTGGTGGCAGGTGTAGGCAGGGTGTGTGGGTTTGCATGGTGCTCTGAGCTGGCTGCCAAACTGGGACCAAGTGAAGGGTTTTTCCTCAGCCCCACAAGCTCACTGCAGCCAGAGAGACAGCAGCGCCTTCCCCGGGCCTGGTGGTCCTGGCACAGCGGGGCTGCTGTGGCCACATGTTGTCTGCCCCTGCCCCCAGATCAGGAGCCCACAGGAGCACCCAGCTCCTCTGCAGGTGCAAGATGTGGCTCTTGATTGCATTTCCCTTACTTTGGTTCCTTTGCTTTAATCAAAACAACCAACAAGCATCTTTTTCTGCTAACAACCTGCCAAGCAACTTTGGTGCTCTAAGAGAAATTCAGGAGCCTGAAGGACAAAGCACAGCTGCCATGAAGAAGCAAACTGGGCTTAATTTAAAGCTGCAGCTTAAAAAACTGTCATTTGCAAGTGCTGCAGTTCAGCAGAGCTCTTCCTGATGGCTCTCACCAAAGACATCTTCTTATTCAGTAGTCCCCACAACATCTCAGCAGAAAAGCATATATCCTTCCGGTGTGCTGCAGACTGTTATCATCACTTGTAAATGGAGAACTTGAGGTGTACAAGGATGAAGGAATCAGACTTTCAAAGATAGCGTTAATTCTCCATTGTTACGTTTGCGATTTGTAATTCATTGGATTACATAATCACCTGATCAGTGACCAAAACCAGTACCACATCACTCCAGAAGCTAACCACACCAGGCTTTTGACATTTGAATAGTGTATCCTTACAGTGAATCACTTGTGTACTATACAAAAAGCAAAATAATATTTTTAAGAAATGGCAAGCAATTCTGAGCAAATAGACTGGATAATTTTTTTAAAAAATATGTGAACAAAAAAGGGAACATCTTGTTAATTGTAGTTCACACTTCCAGCCTTAATCTCTGAAAAAATAAATCATATACTTAGGTGTTTACACTCTGATTATCCTCCTCATGGCAGTTTTTACTCAATAAATAGCAGAATTGTTGGGTTTTTTTTCTTTTGAGGATTGATTTCATCTGGAAGAATTGTATTAGGTATAGAAGTGGTAATAGGGAACTTTTTGAAACAATATATTATTTTCTAATGAAGTGTGTTTTATTGTTATCCTCATTCTCCTTTGTAAGTGAAATCTGAATTGGCCCTGTAATATCTGTGAAATTGTGCTTCCATGTCTAACCCTCACATTGCTTCTAGTTTCCAGTGACTTTCAATAAGTTGTCCAGTGGCTCCCTGCCAATCTGAAAATCTCTGTAAATGCAAAGCAACTCTCTGAGGATCATTTTGGAAGCACAAATGCTTTTGGTTTCAGTAATAGACACGGCAGAATCTAAAAAACATTTTGGGATATTTATTTATACAGCACAAATGGGCACACTGAGTATCATGCTGTTGGAGTTTTAATTCCCAAACTGCATCTTAGAAATTCAGAGCTTTTCCCCTCTTACAGTGAAGTCTGACTGTTGCAGAAGCAGAGAGGAACAAATGAGATTTTTCTAAAATGGTATGAAAGTTATCAATAACGAAGAGATCACATTTCACCCCTCTGGTTCATATAAATCTGAAATGACCTGAGTGGTTTCAGCTGAGTCATTTCCAGTTTGCGCCAACAAATCTGACACTGGAATTTTGCTTCTCAGTGATATTCATCAGCTGCTTTTCCTGTCTCTGCTGGTCATTTTGGGTGCAGGGATGGGACTACGTGCCTCCACACACTGCATTCTACCTGCAGTCTGAGCATATCTGCTGTTGTCCAGTAAAACATAATAAGCTTTTAAATAAGTATATGCTTAAGCCTAAATTTGTAGTCCAACACTCATGGCTCAAGCAGCCCAGATTACAGGTGAGGTCTGTGGGTGGTAATACCTGCTTTTTGGTGGGTGTTTGAGGTGGACGACTGGACAATTAACCCTGGGGTTTTAATATTGTGGTTGGTTGGTTGGTGGGTGGGTTTTTTAACATCTCTGAAGAATGAACAAATTTGTAAAGCAGAACTGGGCAGACAGTTTGCTGGCAAAAGAGGAAAATAATGGGATTGAGCAGGTGTTAGGATTGAATTTTCAGCTACCACAAAACAAGTAAGAATAAAGCTCTTTCTTTGTGACCAGACAAGTATTTAATTCCAGCTGAAGTGTTTAGGGTTTAGTTTCTTTGAGTGAAATTATTTCTGGCTAGCTTTTGTTGACCTGAATAGATTTTTTTTTTTTTTTTTTTTTTTTTTTTTTTGTAAAACAAACCATCCAAAACCTTCATCCACCTCAGCTGTAGAGGTCACTTTTACACAGAACTGCTCATTGTGGAGCAGTGGAATCTATCTATCATTTCTTCCCACCAATGCAAGAGAAACAGTGGACACTACCATGCTCAGGATGGAAATCACCAGCATCTCTTTGTGAGTCTGAACACGTGATCTGCAGGGTGGCTGGGAGGGCTGGGCATTCCCACCTGCCAATTCACTTGTTTTTTCTGTCATAAAGTATTGTGCCATTTGCACTGAGCTAGGATCAAAAATCTTTCTCTAATCCAGAGGATCTGGGACTGAAATGCAGAGGTAGGGATTGTTTGCTTATTTTTTAAGACCCTCACAACCAGTCAACCAGTCCTTTCTCACTAGTACACTTAATTAAAAACAGTACTTCCACTGAGGTTTATTGATGTAGTAAATGTGTGAGACTGCATCATCAGTTTGAGTAAAGGAAGAACTGGCCCAATATGTTTTTCCTAAGGAAACTACTGTGAGAGAGTGTATACAGCAAATACTAAATACACAGTGTGTTCTCCTTCCCAGATAAGATACTGTCCTATTTGGTCACTGTTGTAACAAATTATGCAAAATCAAGAGATTGAGAAAGAGTTCATCTTCCTTCAATAAAGCTGTTCACCTGCTAATGCTGTTACTAAAGACAGGAATCAATTCAGATTAGTAAAGAGGAGACAACTGCGAGAGACACAACAGTGTGATATACTTTTCCTGCAGCTGTTTTCAACAGTGCTATTTTTATAATAATCTTGGAAAACTCCTGTGGACTTAAGGGTTGGCTGATGTTCACTGAGTATCCAGCAGAAACACAAGACTAAGTGCTTACCCCAGCTCTGATAAGCAGAAGGAATCGGGCTGACAGGGTTTTCTCATTCACTCAGGACCCAAGTCAGCTCCAAGAAAGGAGTGACCAGCTAGCAGAAACATCCACAGATACCCCATGGACATACCTTGGTCAAGCACCCAGCTAAGTAACACAGTGGAATATCTGTCAGCTTGTACCAAGTACTGATTCTGGGGGAAATAGTTTAAAACCAGATAAACTCACCAGTTCAGTGACTAGAAGTGCCTAAACCCTGCATTGTCCTTGTCAGAAGTGAGGGAACGCTGTTCAGCTGAACTTACTCCCAAATGCATCACCACTTAGGAACTAAAGTGGGAACAGAGTAAATAGTAAATAGGATGCCCAAAGTCATGTAGTAATGCTGCCACACTATCAGAAACAGACTTTTCTCCTGAAAACCAAACCGTATGCAAAGCCCAACAAGGAGAATGATCATCAGCTGACTTCTGTGACAATTGTTTATGCTTTGCATTCCAAAATGACTGCACGGGTACTGATTAAAATAAAACAAATATCGGTTGTGCTTGCCACACCATGACAACTAGCAGATGCACTTTAAAAGACAAGTAATTATAACCTTCCAAGATTATTAGATTAGATTAGCAAAAATACAACTGCAAAACAGACACAAATTTAATTAGTATACTAATTTTCTCTTGGTATGAGAAATACTGACTTTTGTCCTGGAACTACTTGCTTTATACATCAAACCTTGCTAATGCTACTGTTCAAGTTACTAAAGCACTTAAAAAAATAGAAACTGCACTGCAGTTGTGAAGTATGCTGAAACAACCTGTGAGTATAACACAGTTCTGAGATCTTAAAAATGCAAAAACTAACTTTCATCCCTTTCAGGGGAAATAAAACCTAGAGCTGCAAAGCACTAGAGAAAATAAAAACACATTTGTCAAAAATATGTTCTCTCTTCTATGAAGAACTTGTAAAATTTTTAGTAATTGATACAAAATGAAATAATTTTGTGAAAAATCCGGGGATTTCCTCCTTCTTCAATTAGTATTTTAGCACTGATTAGAAAAACAGTTTTTCTAATGAAAGGAAAGAAGTAATCAGTAGGACATCACCCAGAAAATGCTCAAACTTGGCCCAAATCCCTGAGTTTACTGTCAGTTTACTCAGGAAAATGAAAAGTGGAATTCGCCATGGAGATCTGCGTGATTTCAATCATATACTCTTTAACACCAAAACCCCACAGTTCTTCACATCTTCAGTGTCATGAGATCAAAGTTTAAAAAGAGTGTCTATGTTGGATTTGCTGCTTGATAGATGTAGACACTCCTGCTATTATCATGCAGAAAGGAAAAAGTTCATGCTTGAATCCTTCCCCAAGGGCTGACAGCCAGTTAGTGAGTGTGTACAGCTCCCTGCCTGGCCTGTGAGAGTCCCAACGGGCTTGTCAGGGAACCCATTACACCAGTGCATTACATCAGAGGCTGGTGCAGAGGGTCTGGGAGAGAGGGAATCTGCTGGGGGGAGTGGTAGTGGTGGTGATTCCAGGGGGGGGCCATGCAGACTTACTGGAGCTGTGCAATACACATCTGCTTCTGCCACTCCCTGAGGCTGACTTGGCTCCATTGCATGGGAAGGGGATGATGAGATGGGAGGCTGGAAAAATGTCATTGCTCTGGTGTCAAAGGAGACATCAGATCGGCTCACCTAGAAGACACCCAGACCTATATGGACATCAGAAATATCTACCATTCCTTCAGAAGAACATACTTTTTTAGCCATATTTTTCTTCTTGCTCTTTATGAAGATTAAATTTGTTCAGCTCATCTTTACCTTAGATAGCGACTATTACCACTTTTTCCATTTGGGAGTATCTGCTATAGGTGGTATTGGTATTCAGCAGCAAAGAACTGTGCAACATGAGCCTTCAGGAAACAACCTCTGCCCTCAGATGTTCATGGACAAGTCCCATTGAACCTGGGGCATAACTTCACCTTACAACTTGTTTTTATCAGCAACATAATGTTTCTCTATCAACTGTTCTGGATTGCTAGGTAAACCTAAAGTGCTATTTCTGAACAGTAAAACTATTTCCCATCTCTCACCCCCAAAGTAGAATATGCTTCTATTTTTGGCAAGAAACTCCCTCTCTACCCTGGGATAGAGAAGAAAGAAAGAAAGAAAGAAAGAAAGAAAGAAAGAAAGAAAGAAAGAAAGAAAGAAAGAAAGAAAGAAAGAAAGAAAGAAAGAAAGAAAGAAAGAAAGGAAGGAAGGAAGGAGACTCTCCTCCTGCTTGCGAACAGAAGATCAGTTCATTTGCGCTGTGCTGTTCATATGCTGTGTAAAACTTGCCACAGAGTCCTTTGTGCCATCAGCATGAAAAGAATCCTTTGCCCAGGCAGGAGATTAGGGTGGCCAGCAGGAATCCTTGCACCCGAAATTCAGATCAGAATGGCTAAGTTCATGGGAAGTTGGGATTTTAAAGGGATTGTTCTGATGATGCCAAAAAAGCAACAGCAATAACAGCCAACTCCACGGGCCTATCCAAATTTCTGTTTTCTCTTAGTGAAGGTACACTGAGGAGAAAAAGTGCAAGGGGCTGGATTTGCTCACCTTTAAGGGTATTACACAAGAGTGAACCATAAAGGTGATAGCAGGTACGTCAGGCATCTCATTTGAAATCCTGCAGCCTCTCCCTTCCCTTCATATTAGCAAACCCTGAGAGACTGGTGCTGATGTTAAAAGCCCTGCAAGGAGGTGGCGGGGGCAGCTGAATGCTACGGTCTCACGCAGCACAATCAATGCATCAATCTTCCTTACATTGATGTCTTGGAGGCTCCCAGAGTCGTACTCAACTCCCGAAATTATAAGGGCACCAGGGAGCGGGTGCTGAGATGCGGGGGCTGCAGCTGCCACCCCTCCTGCGCCGGCAATTGTGCTGCCACCTCGGGAGTGCTCCCGGCTGCCCGGCCTGGTCAAAAGACCTTTGAATTAACCTTTTCACTAGAAAAGAGATTGTGGCCCTATAGAAAAGTATGAATTCAGAGCAAAGCCTTTCTGCAGGATTAGTCCATTAGAAGCAAAAAGGAGAAAGGTTTTTTTGTTGTTCTGTAAAATATAAGTGATTACAGGATTTAAAGAAAAAAAAAAATCGTCTGTCTATAGTGGGGAGTATCTATGTTGGAACAATGTGTGCTCTTATCCTCTGCCTAAGTCATTGTACTGCCCTTATCTCCATCACATCTGACTGCCTGCCAGGAGTGTGAGCTAAGAGATATAGTGTAACTGCTGTCCTGTGTGGTCCGTTCCTCCATCCTCTCTGAAAAGAAAAAGGTGTGTGAGAGATGTAGATCTGCTTTGCTACAGGATTTTTTTTAGGGAAGGGGGAGGGCTGTGCTGAGATTTGATATCAGAGGAAGAAAAGCCAACTAATTCCTTATCAGAGTTTTGGTGGTTTGGGTTGTTTTTTGGGGTTTGGGTGTTTTTTGGGTTTTTTTTTTTGGTTGTGTTGTGTTTTCTTTTCCTCTCCTTTTCAAGTTTCCCCAGTCAGATATTTATCCCACTAATAGCCAAAGCACCCCCACCAGCTAATCTCACCTTTGAGATAAAAGTAAACCACTGTGTACTGCAAAAT